GAGGCTGGTCCTGACGCCCAGCTGCCACTTTGGGATCCTCCGCTGGCCCCCTGCTCCTGACACGTCCCCCCTGGGGCTCCCCTGGCCTTGACCACCGGCGCCCCCTTCTGGGAATCCTCTGATTCGCTGGAAAGACACATGGAATCTCTTGAGTCATTGTCATCCTCTTCCTCGCTGGCTTGGAATTCATCCCCATCGCTCTCCATCTCCTGCCTACCCTGTGCCTCTCTCCCTGAACCCCTGACAGTTATGTTTTGTGTTTTTATTGTTAAGTTTTGTATTGTTTTTTGTGTGTGTTGTTTTTCTTTTTTCTTTGTTTAAAACCTTAATAAAAAATTATTAAAAAAAAAGAGAGAGAGAGAGAAATAGATGTTTAATTCTAAGCACAAAAGGACAAAGGTCCGGGGCAGATCTGCCACTCTAGGAGAGTGCGATAATTGCTTTGACAGGACACTGACAACCGTTTGATTGTCGGTCCAGAAGCATACCTGGTGATTCCTGAACTCGTCAGCACGCAAATGCCATTGTACTTTTCCAGGAACTTCAACCCAACCTTCAGGTCTGACTTGACCACATTAGAGAGGCGCACTCAGTTTTGCGGAGCACGCAGTCCCGCTGACAGCTTAGCCAATCGCCCACAAAAGGGGCGGCCAGGGGACACTACCCAGCATGCAAAGTTGAGGTGACCGAAGCGTGAATTGACTCTGGCCAAGGGTGATCTTCTTGAGGGGAAGAAGTTGCAGAATTAATGCTAGCCTCTCCCTTGGTAGGCGGGATGTTTGTGCAATTGTGTCCAATTCAATACCCAAAATAGGTTATGGTCAAAACTGGACCCTCTATTTTGTCCGCCACCAAAAGGTACCCCAAGCTCCTCAGCCAGGGAGGTGAAAGCCTCTAAAGGAGAAGCGCAATCAGGGTTATTACTAATGATGGGGGGGGGGAAGAGTTATCGAGGTAATGGGTCACCCCTTCAGAACCAGTTCTAAAGCGAAGAGCCCAGTCCAAAATTGCACTAAATGACTCAAAGGCTGCACGAGCTACTGAGCACCCTATCGGCATAGATTTGTCTATGGAATAAACCCCCTCAAATCTAAAACCTAGCCATAGAAATTCCTCAGGGTGAATTGGCAGGAGACGGAAAGTCGAACCTGCGCATACGCTTTATAGCCTAATCAAGGAGGCATACTTCACAGAACAAGGCTTCTGTGGTATTGCATCATTGACTGAGCCGCCTCTAGGGTAGGGTAGGTTGTGGATCATAGGATACTCTCCTGGAGTCTATGGGGGGACAATGCCTAAAGGTGAAATGAGTAAACCCGCTATAGGTGGCTCCCTGAAGGGGCCGGCCACCCTCCCGGCCAGAAATTTCTTTAATTTCTTTTTGCAATAGCTGGGATTTCCCAAACTGATTCTTTGGTTTGGGGGGGGGGTTCCCTGAGTTAGGGGGTAATGAAACGAGGATCTTGAAGCCATAAGAGAAACTCTTTCCCAGGGTACTTTGCTGCCTCTATTTTAGAGTATTTATCAAGAAAGGTTCTAAGAGGTGAGAGCTTAACAGAAGAGAACATCACAGTCAAGGGCCAAATTCATACCAATTAGTGGCTGTTCTTTTTGGCGGGTCTGTGAGCTTTTCAAGACCCCTGGTGGAAATTCCCCGCTGCCCGGAAAGGGCTGTTTACCTTTAAAACATGAAGGCACTTCTCACATTCATGCGCATACTTACAATTTGGCCCCTGGCACACACCCGTGTTGTACTCCCAGCAAACCTCATGGTGAGGGACTCGCTTAGCTTCAAATTTTCTAACTTTCCTTTTCCACATAGGGACCCATATGCTCCATCCAGTAATTCTGGTCGCTCGGAACCCAGCAGGTGGTGGGCAGCAGGAAGCTTTTCTGAATCGTCCTCGGCATTAGAAGGCTTACTTCTTTTGCTCTTCTTGGCCGAATGCTTCTTCTTACTTAGACTTCTTTCTCCCTTGCCCATCGTTGGAGACTGGTGCTGTTCTGCAGCCGCTGCCACTTCCTGTTGCCCCTGCGTCTCTTCCTCCGATGATGTTTCGGAGCCCCCTTCCGCGGTAAAGGCTGAGGTTGTGAATGCTGTAGCATACTGGGAAAGTCTGGGGTATACTGAGGGGCAGAAAGGTTAAAATTGTAAGCATGAGCCCTACCTCCCGAGGATCTGTCATTGGAAACCCAGGGACACATAGACTGTAATTATGTGTGAGGATGCATAAATGGATTGCTACCCGAATGTGGAACCCTAAATAAGGAGGCAAAAGTGCAAGGGAGCTCCTCATTGCTGGACGGCAGTACTCACTATTTGGGAAGAGGCCGCAGTGACCATGGGCCTGAATTGTTGGTAAAGGTTTCAAAAGCAGAGGAAACACTGACTAGGCCTGTGGGTAGCAGGGCACAGGAGGCTACCCTGACCCATCTCGGACACGGACCCACTGTTGAATCATTGGCTGCTCTCAGCACTGCCGCGGTGGCCACGGAGGTGCCGGGGCGGTCCACAACGTTAGGTGGCGTATCCGGGATGCATTCTAGGGTGAGCGCCAGAGGTACCGCTGCCACCTGGTCTGCAGGCCTATATTGCCTATAAAATGTCTAAAAAGCATTCAACAACTGTGCCAAAGCCTATGGGTTACTAGGCACTACGAAGGCCTGGGACCCCTCCTGGTTCCCTCGTGCCACCCCAGTTATAGCAGCATTTTGCTGGTTCTCTTGAGCAGACATAGTTTGATACCCTTAATTAGCCTGGTTCTGTAAAATCAACGCCAACTAGCTTGGATTATATGCGTGAGCTGCGAGCAATATCACTGTAGTTCAGTATTGTCTGCACTGGTAAGTTTAAAGGACCCAAAGATGCCTAACTAATCTCTAACAAATTGTATTTAGCTGCAAACAATATCACCGTAGCTCAGTATTATCTGCACTGGATAGCTGTCCAAAATACCAGCCCACACCTCAAAGCAATGTATTCAGAGGAATACTGAGTCTATAATAAACAGAAGAGAACCTTTGATAATGTAAGCAGCTATGCAGCAAGCTAGAGGTAGAATTATAAATTGTAACCCAGCAATACAGCAGTGAAAAATGATAAATTGACTTATGCAACAAACCTATAAGCAAAGCAAAGCTCCAAAGAGCCCTTAAGCACTATTATCAAAATCAACCAAATGAATTAAATTGCCAGATTAAATATATACTTATAAACTAACAGATGAAATACCAGAAAGAGATGAACGTAGAAGAGGCATGAGCTATTTACTTTAGATTCCCTATAAACCTGTATGCAAAGATATAAAACCCGGATCTCTTTTTCCTTATAACTATGAATTGACTATACCAAATTATAAAACTTAATGCCTAGGCAGAGAGTAAATGACACAGCTCCTCAGAGCACCGCAAGCTGAATGAAATAATTTGAATTCCAATATACTGTGCACTAATGCTTCAATTTAATTTAAATGCGTTTCATAAATTCCCAGAATGAAATTCTCAAGAGTGTAAGTATAAACAAAAGCAGTCAAATTAATTAGAGGATATCAATTCTAAGATCAGCCTAGCCAGAGACGCTGTAGCCAGCTCTATACAAGCTTATGCACCAAGAGGAGGGGCTCCCTGCAGCCCCTTGTGCACTCTTATTTAAGCTAGGCTCTTTTAATTGCGCCATCATCCTTTGTTTATATTGCTTATGTTTATTTCCTTTGTTTATATTGCTTTTGAATTTAAAACCAACGAGAAAGTGAGGGGCACTCGAAAAGGAGATAGCTCCCACATGGTTTTGCCTCTCCTAAAATGGCTGCCGCCGCAAGGCCACGTGGGCAATCAAAATGGCGGCCGTAATGCGTTCCCGTTGCCTAGCGACAATGAACATTTAACGCTAGCCCTTTAACACTGAAAAATTCCGCAGCCTCAAGAGCAAAACCTGCAGGCATTCCCCACGTACCCCTTATGAACGTTAATTATTCCCCTGGTTTTCTCGCCGGTTAAGCTTAAAAGGGAGGGTTTGTAAAGTTACTTCCCACGTGGAATGCCTATAGTAAAATGGCGGCCGCCCGGAAGGGCACGTGGGCGGATGAAATGGCGGCTGGGGCGCTGGTTGCCCGGCAACGGCGCAGCTGCTTCCGAGGCTTTCCAAGTCTAAACTTCCGCGGGAAAATAAAACAGCCTGTAGAGGAAGCGATGCTCTGTGGAAGCCACTCACCCCCTCAAGAATGCTGCTGAAATGATTATTTAACAAGAAATTCTGCCCCTCACCCTGGCAAGAAAATGAAACACAACTGGCACAAAACGCAGCCCGCTCTCCTCCCGCAGCTGCCGTTCCGCCTAATTGCACCACGCTCCCCTGCACAAACCCCAAGCTAAAACCTGAAGCCCCAACAGCAAAACCTGATTGGATGGGTGCGCTGCGTCCTCCGTGGAAATAACGAAGAGGAGCTGTTACCGGAAAAATCCGAGGGCTCCCTTGGACAAAAACAAAGACACCAACCAGGATAACTTGGAGCAAAACAGCAGCCTGTAGGCTTGGCCTTTATTGAACTGTTGCAACAGGGTGTTCCCCTCACTTGCAGGAGAGAGGAAAGACCCAGAAAGATGGTGTGCAAGACCTTATAAAAACTTTGAAATTCCCATCCTCTAGGTCAAGCCCACCCCCAGAAACATCATGCATACATTACAGAAAGGAGGAGTTGACATCATGCATACATTACAGAAAGGAGGAGTTGACATCATGCATACATTACAGAAAGGAGGGGTTGAGGGAGGAGTTGTGGTGGTAACCTGAGTGTCCTGTCACCTGGCTGGTTCCTCCTTTCCCCTGCCCATGAGTCACTTCCAGGAGACAAGGGGAGTTAGCAGTTTCCTGCCCCCAGAGGGAAGATCTGATCATTGTCCTTTGTTTCAGTCCATGCTGAATCCACTCCCATATGCAAGTTCTTTGTGATCTTGATGGTCTTCTGTCTAGGACCATCAGGGTTGGCATAGCAACTGGGCAGGGCTCCTGTGGATGTGCTGGGATGGTGAAGGGATTATGGCTGACCAGAACCAAGCCACCCCCCTTTGATAGTCCTTGTCATATGGAGTAAAATAAAAATGGAACAGTGCAAATCTGATGTATGGTTGATTTTTCTATGAATTTATAACAGAAGTGTGGCATATGTAGTGTGTGAGTGTGAGTGTGTGAAGTTTGTACAAACTGAATGATTGGGGTGGGGGGTTCCTGCTACAGTTCCCCCCTTCGGAGATAAGATTGCAAAGGTGGCTACTTTGCAATCCTTTTCTCCGCACAATTTAAGGTGGTAAATGTTAACCTGCTATTCTCCATCCCAGATGCGTGTGTCCATGTGAACCTGAAAGGGACTTGGATGTCACGCTTCTTAAGGATATTTGCATAGAAATATAACAGTGTAACAGTGCACATAGTTAGACATAGGATATCACGTAAAATTAATATTTTGTTGCTCAGTTACTTGTGGTGTTCTAGCACCTTGGAAGAAATATTTTCTCAATAGTGGTCTATGCTTTACATTTAGCAGGAAGGTCCACTAATGACTGAAAAATGCAGTTTGTTTTGTCCCCCGCCATTTTTGTGTTCTCAGGTGTCAAGGTAGCTCTTCTGTGGTCTCACATTGGCATGGTGTCACAGTAGTGGCAATCCCTGGTGAATCCACTTAGGGCTTTCATATTAACCATGTTGCCTGGCACTCACCACAGCTGGCACAGGTTTAGGACACGTCATGAGAGAAATGTCTTTGCCTTGGCCATTCTATGGGATTTTATTATTATAGGCTCTGGTCTTGCAGTCATGGGAAGTTGCTCACTTGCACTTTAAGGACCAAAAGCTAATTGCAGCCTGGATACACTTGCCCAATTCAAACTGAGTCCAATTTGAATTTTTCTTGCCCCATGGTTCTCAACTTTTCTGTTAAAACAGAACCATCCAAATAAGTCAATTTAACTCTATAAGGGATTATTCCTGCTAAACCAAAGCATATACACCTTCCTGAAGCTTCTCCTTGGTAAAGCGAGTTTTAGCACATTTTAAATGGGTAGGGAAGTTGGCAGAGTGCCAGGTGAAACAACGAAATGTGGTTATAAATTTATCTAATCCTAAACATTTGACTACACAATAGCCTGACCTATTAGAACGCATAAAATGTATGAGAATCCTCCACTGGGGTGTAAGGAATAAGACATTAAATATAAAAACAATTACACACAAAATAGCCCCCGATTTGTGGAAATAACACACTGTCAGACACATTTCAACATTCCTACGTAATAACACATAATACAAAACAAACTAATTAAATATCAGTTGCATATCTTGAGACAATTGGGATATTTTATGTATGTATCTTTTGAATCCTGGAGCACAGTCTTGAGGTTCAAAAGTGAGAAGATGTCCTTGCAATTCAACTCCACCCCCCTTTGTCAGGCCCACTCCCCCGGCAGTCTATATCCTTTGAAAGAGATAGCTGTGGGCACTTTGAAACTTTGGTGTCTGTTGTTGTTGCAGGTCTTGTGGTGGCGAAGCTTTTCATTGGATCTGTAGTAACACATTTGTAGAAGTGATATCCTGTAAGGGGCAGGGTTTTGAGGACTTAAAAGACAGAGTTAGAAAAGGGAAGGGGCAAAAGGCAAAAAGGATGTCCTTCAGTTTCCGTTGGAAGCTGCAAATAATAAAAATCTTAGCGGATTAAGCATTTCATTCATTCCAATATTATTATCATATTTCCATATAATTACTGTTATTATCTGCCAAGTTTGTTTGCTTTCCTTCACTTAGTTTGGCTGTGGAAGAAACGGAGGGACAAAACCTTTGTTAATTTGAACACAATTGGCAAGTTATTAAACATTTTGCTTATGTGGGTCCGAGTTCACGTATCCTGTTTTAAAGGGAAATTTTTATTTCCTTTGAAAATCTCTGTCAGGAATGCTGTTCCTATAATGCACACAAAGCCTGTTATAAAAGTTAAATCCCATTGGGGGTGGGAGAACTAGTCAAGAGTGGAACTCACAGTGGGAGCGCTTTGATATTTACCTGTGAAAAGAATTTGGCATGTTAAGATTTGAAACCTGGAAACCTCTTGACTTTTGATGGGCTAGTACTTAACCCTTTTGTCTTACGTAGCCCCTGGAGCAAAGGACACATTAAGGGTGATTTCCCTCATTGGTTCCAAGTTTTACATAAGGAAATTTGGATAAGTTTCTCCCTGCAGCCCAAGCTCTCGAAACCTCCTCTCCCCCCCCTACAGTTCCCCTCCTTCCTCTCTCTCTCTCTTTCCTCCCCCCTTTTTTTATTTTAAGCTGATCTAGCCTCTGTGCATGTGCAGAGTTCATGTCTCAGCAAACCTTTTATACTATTGAAAATGTTGAATCTTTTGGCTAAATTACCATTTGAATAAGGGAAGGGAAGGGTAAGGAGTAGATTTTAAAAATAGGGTTAGATTTTAAAAACAAAAAAGAGAAACTCAGCTGTCAGGGGTTCAGGAGCAGAGGCAAGGGCAAGGGAGGAAACAGAGAGCGAGGGGGAGGAGGCAGAAGAAAAGATGAGTGATGACGACGACCCGAGATCTCCGAGTCTTTCCAGTGAATCAGAAGATTCACAGAAAGGAGCACCAGTGGCCAGGGCAAGGGGGGAGTCTAGGGGGACACCCCAGGAAGATAGAGCCAGAGGGGACTCAGAGGGGAGCAGTTGGAAATCGGGACCAACGTCACCGCCAGAGAGCAGGGAAGAGGAAGGGCGCCAGGGATCAAGCGCTGGCAACTCACAACAGGGGAGGGCACGAGTCAGGAGTGGCCACACCCCCATCGGGGAGCGAAGAAACGGTCAGACGGAAGGTGGAAGGTTGGGCGCGCGCCCAAGTTCAAATGCACAGGAAGGTGGCGCAGTAGGCAGCCCGGAAAGGGAGCCAGGTCCTAAAGCCCGCCGAAAGGAGGGAGAAGAGTCAGGGGAGTCAGCGTCAGCGTCAGAGGAATCCCGGAAGGAAGAGACCCCGGGGGGGCAGAGGGACCCAGAGAAGAACAGTCAGGCGGAAAAGGTGGAGCAGGGCTAGGATATTAAGTTGGTGTACAAGGGGCGGAGACTCAGACGGAGCTTCGCCGGTCTAAGCATGAGACGTAGAGTTGCACGCAGCAGCTTGAGAATGGAAACTGTAACTCAATAAAGACTTTTGTTTAATGATCGCTGGCTAGCGTGATCCTCTGTGAGCTAGGATCTGGAAGCAGCTCTGACATCAGCGATTCAAGTATTCACTAAAGCTAGCAATTGCAGCCCAAGCAAAGGGACTGCTTCCTTTATGTACAGGAAAGGGCTAATATCCCTCTGGCCATTCGCGGAACAATGCCACGCCCTTATATATGGGAAAAATGGCCAGAGAGTCAGAATTCATAGGATTTTTTTAACATTCACAGTCATTTCAGCCTTACCATTTGCAGACAAAAATTTTTTTTCCTGCCCTTTATTTACAGGATTGGTCAAGGCGCATATGTATTTGTATGTGCTGAAACTTTGAATTGACTTTGAAGTCTGATTTTTAAATAGTAGACAAAATGATAAACACTGTAATCACTCAAATGCTTGATATTACCAGTTGTGCTTCAAAAACATCACGGCTTCACCTCACACCTTTTAAAACTAAAGAGCAAAGCTAGGCTGAATTTCAACTCCATCACCACACCAGAATTTAAGAATTACCCTCCAATGCTTGCAGACACATGTCCTTCCACACAGCCACAAATTGGGAGAGTTGAAAGGGACCCTGGGGTCATCTAGTCCAACCCTCCAAAATATAGGGTTCACAGCAAGATTTCCCAGAAAGATTTGTACTACCAAAGAGACATACACATTTAAGTACAGATTTACAACTGGGAAAGGAAACATCTATGCTCCTATCATGTACTAAGGAAGAGGAAAATAAAAGTACCCAACTTTACACAGAACCCTTTTAGCAGATCTTGAGATAGTTTGAGTGAGTTTGCTTCCTTAGACTAAAGAATGCAAGTTCCTATAGAAATGATATTTAAAGGAAGATTGAAGTGAACAGTTTTTTTTTTTTCTAAGATAGGGAGAGGATCTTTTATTAAGCATAGTTAAAACAGCCATAGATTTGATTTAAAGGGAATACAAAAGTGAACAATATTATCCCCCCTGAACTTGCAGAGGAATAGTAAGCCTAATTTAGATTATTATTATTTTTAATAACTACACATAGGAAAGTGAGATGCAGGGTACCTTAGGAAAGATTGCTCCCCCCTCTTTGCAGTTTCCTTTAAAGGAAGCTTACTCAGGAGTAAATTTACCTGGCACAGAAGTAAGAAGGGGGAAAAACCTGAAAGATACAGAATGAAACAAGGGGGGGCATTTTCTAAGAAAAGAGGCCAGGAAGTCTTATAGAGACTGATATCAGGACTGGACTCAGATAGACAATTTTTGCTGGCCATGGAAACCTCTACATTTAATAACAATTTTTCTCAGAAAGAACACCATACTTTCATAGGCATAGGCTTAATGAAATACATACACTGCATTTTAGCTTGAGAGAGCAGTTGGCTCAACTAGGCTTTTGCAGCAGAAACATTAGTTTCTTCACAGCACATTTCAAAATACTGGAACAAAAAAGACTGGAACTCACAAACTCAAAAGTTGCAGCAAAACATCATCTACCATCAACTTAAAATCATACTCCTCACTTAAGCTACTCGGAGGAAGACTCTTTGGAGCCTCTCTCAAATAACAAACATTTGCACACTTCATTCTTCTTCCTTTTTTTTTTTTTTTGTCCTGTTTAAGATTGATAAGGCCCAACATGCCTTTCTTAGATTTAAAATTTTTGAAGCAAGCTTGCAATTTTAAAACTATGTGCATTTAAGAACAGTCTGTGGATGCCAAGGCCAATGTAAATACAAACCCTTGAAATATTTCTAAATCTTTGAGTACATCTCTTATCATTTTTTTTAAATTTTTATTTTTTATTTTTTAGAGAAACTAAGATCTCTAATGCGTGGGCTCTCAGGCTGGGCTGTTATTATATCTACTACCTTCTGAGCACCATTAAGTTTACGGTTTCATGTTCTAGCTTTAGGTTATAGTTTAACAACACAAATTTGATGTGTTCAGCTCTCCCTAAGGGTTCACACCCTGATTTTGTTGAAGGATCCCTGAGGTGGCCGCTGTGCCCTGGGTTCCAGGTGGTGGGTAAAAGCGACCCACGAGATGTTGCAAAGGTCCCTCAGTTTGGACTTTGAGAGTCCCTTCCTCCCTCTCAACTCTTTCCAGTTTAAGAGAACAAATTGAAGAGGGGTATCAGAGTCCTCCCTCGGGCGGAAAGGCTCCGCGGAAGCCTTATCGCCTGGAGGAGTCCAGCCTGAATGCTTGGAAGCATGGGCCCCCATTCTTTTGCAGTACGCTAAAGACAGAAAAAGTGGACACACACACACAAGGGAAGAAGGGGCAATGGAAAAGGAAAAGAGGGGCAGGGAAAAAAGGAAAAAAATATCCTTTCAGTACTCGAAGTATCCTTGACTAACCCAATTTCTACCTATCTGTAAGTCACAAATTACTTTCAGGAAAATCTCAGACATGAACCTAAAACAAAAATCACGGGTCTCCTCGCCTGAAACTCAAACCACGGGTCTCCCTGCCCGAAACTTAAACCACAGGTCTCCTCGCCCGAAACTCAAACCACGGGTCTCCTCGCCCGAAACTCAAACCACGGGTCTCCTCGCCCGAAACTCAAACCACGGGTCTCCCTGCCCGAAACTCAAACCACGGGTCTCCTCGCCCGAAACTCAAACCACGGGTCTCCTCACCCGAAACTCAAACCACGGATCCGGAATTCCTTTGCCTCAGCGCTGTTTACAAGACTAACCCTAGTGTGGGGCCCCAATTTGTGAACCTCCCGCTCTGCTCTCCACGACAGCCTCCTGCCTAGCCTTTAGACTAAATTCGGGCTCCCTACTGGACGCCTGCGCAATGCAGTGCCAGATCGAGGTCTGAGAAAAACAAAGTTTAGAAAGGAAGCAAATGACCTTGCGTTCTCACATACCCGGGTCATCCCCAACAAGGGTCGCCGAGCAGGAGGGGCAGCTTCATTTGCGTAAGCAGGGGAGAGAGAGAGAGAGAGTAGGAAAGATTTGTATGGACTCCTCCGGACGACTCCGAGGGAGGACGTCAGAGAAATGCAAAGTACCGCGTTTTTCCCTGGCCACACTCCGAAAGGGAAAAACGGGGGAGAGAAGGAGAGAGGGAGATTTGTAGGGACGCCTCCGGACGACTCCGAGGGAGGACGTCAGAGAAATGGCAAAGTACCGCGTTTTCCCCGCCACGCTCCGAAAGGGAAAACGGGGAGAAAAGGAGAGATTTTAGGACGTTCCTGGACGACTCCGAGAGGTAATGTCAGAAAGCAGCAAAAGTTCCACAATTTCCCCGGCCCAGCTCCGAAAGGGAAATAGGGGGAGAGAAAGAGAAAGTTTAGGACGTTCCTGGACGACTCCGAGAGGTAACGCCAGAGATAGAAGGAAGAAAAGGTCCAGCTGTCGTGGGGACGTTGCTTTCCACCCCCCTCCCAATGTATTTTCTTCAAACCATACTCACGTTCGTAGATGTCCCTCGTGGATCCCGGGATCCTTTCCCCTTAGCCGGCTTGACCTTGCCTTTGCTTCCCCTGGTTGAGCTTTTGGTGACGATTGATTACCGCCCGCAAAGAGGAGGCAGGGCGAGAAGAAGTTTAGGGCAGTTCCTGGGCGACTCCGGTACGCCAGGGTAGAAGGAAGAAAAGGTCCAGCGCTGTCATTGGGGACGTTGGCACCCACCCCCCTCCCAATGTATTTTCTTCGACCATACTCACGTTCATTTGGTGTCCCTACGTGGTCCAGGATCCTTTCCCCCTTAGCAGCTTGACCTTGCCTTTGCTTCCCCTGGTTGAGCTTTGACGATTGATTGCCGCCCGCAAAAGGAGGCAGGGAGAAAAGAAGGATTCCTGGGCTAAGGTTGCCCAGTGGCGCCTGATCCCCTCTATCTCCCTCCTCACCTTCGCAGGAGAACCAAGTGTCCCTGAGCATGGTCGCCAAACTGTTACCGGAAAAATCCGAGGGCTCCCTTGGACAAAAACAAAAACACCAACCAGGATAACTTGGAGCAAAACAGCAGCCTGTAGGCTTGGCCTTTATTGAACTGTTGCAACAGGGTGTTCCCCTCACTTGCAGGAGAGAGGAAAGACCCAGAAAGATGGTGTGCAAGACCTTATAAAAACTTTGAAATTCCCATCCTCTAGGTCAAGCCCACCCCCAGAAACATCATGCATACATTACAGAAAGGAGGAGTTGACATCATGCATACATTACAGAAAGGAGGAGTTGACATCATGCATACATTACAGAAAGGAGGGGTTGAGGGAGGAGTTGTGGTGGTAACCTGAGTGTCCTGTCACCTGGCTGGTTCCTCCTTTCCCCTGCCCATGAGTCACTTCCAGGAGAGAAAGGGAGTTGGCAGTTTCCTGCCCCAGAGGGAAGATCTGATCATTGTCCTTTGTTTCAGTCCATGCTGAATCCACTCCCATATGCAAGTTCTTTGTGATCTTGATGGTCTTCTGTCTAGGACCATCAGGGTTGGCATGGCAACTGGGCAGGGCTCCTGTGGATGTGCTGGGATGGTGAAGGGATTATGGCTGACCAGAACCAAGCCACCCCCCTTTGATAGTCCTTGTCATATGGAGTAAAATAAAAATGGAACAGTGCAAATCCGATGTATGGTTGATTTTTCTATGAATTTATAACAGAAGTGTGGCATATGTAGTGTGTGAGTGTGAGTGTGTGAAGTTTGTACAAACTGAATGATTGGGGTGGGGGGTTCCTGCTACAGAGCCAAACGTTCTTCCTTGAGCTCCTTGCAGAACAGGCAGTCAGCAGCCGAGGGCAAGCAACGGATCAGCAGAAAAAGCTCCACAAAGCTAGATAAATTCCTCTGAAGGGGGCATGCAGCAGCAGGCACGGCAAGCTCCTGAGGGCAGGGAACTTGCACCGAAACACACAGAGCTCCCTGTAAAACTGTAGACGTGAAAGAGATGCTGGAAGGAAAGCACACAAACACACACACAGTGATTTTAGCTCAATTACAGCTCCGGTGTTAAACTGCAGCAGCTGGAATGGAGCGCAAAGGGAAAAAGGGAGCCCAGAAGGAAAAAAGCCCCAAATTGGTTTCAGCTCCAAAACTAGAGATAACAACTCCTGAACATCAAGCAGTTTAGAAATCAAGCAACACCAGCAGCGAATGCTGGAAATTCTCTGTAAAAGAAAGGGAGCTTTTTCTGTGAAGCTACAGCAAATTCCACGAGGTGCCCTGCAGCTCAAGAACAAAGGCAACAAAGAAGCAAGGCAGGAAAGCTCCAGGCAACGCAGATAAGATCTCCGACAAACAGGAACAGCTGATATGCGGGAAACAAACGTGGGGGCTAGCTGGCGAAAAGAGGGTGAGCCCCCTCTGCGCCGGCCCTAAATAGGGCAGACACGGCCGGGATTCCCCTGCTCTCGCGGGGGCTGAAACCAGCCCCCGCTCACGTGGGGGGTGGGCGTGAAGCCCGCAACCCCACCTCCTGGGCAGGCCGGAAGTAGCTTTGTGCTTATTTCAATTCGCATGGGGTTTTATGGGTGTGCACCAGAATGACCCCCAGCCAAAGCAAAAAGGTCTTTTGGGTTCCAGCTACATAAAAAGAAGATGATAAAGCTCTGATTGGGCTTATTTCAAATTGGTGTTTTTGGGTTTAGAATGCACATTCACACAAAAATCGCAGAGTGACATGTTTATTATCAGACCAAACCAAGCATAAGTGTTTTGGTTCCATCTCAATAGAAAGAGGACGAATAAAGTTGCATTGTTCTTTTGGTGTTCAGTCCCCCACCAATAGCAAAGCAAACTGTAATAAGCCTAAACAAAGCCAAACAGGTTGTTTTCGGGTGCAGCAACATAGAAAGAAGAATCTTGCATTTTGCTTATTTCGTGTTCTTTGGTGTTAATGCACATTGACCCAGAAATCTCAAAGTGTGTGTAATGAGACCAAAATAACACAACACTGTCTTTTCACTTCCATACGCGTAGAAATACACTGGTGCCCCGCAAGACGAACGCCTCGCAAGACGAAAAACTCGCAAGACGAAAGGTTTTTTCGTTTTCGAGTTGCTTCACAAGATGAATGTCCCTATGGGCTTGCTTCGCAAGACGAAAACGTCTTGCAAGTTTGTTTCCTTTTCGTAAAACCGTTAAAACCCAGGGTGCATTGCTGGAAGAGGTGCAGTTGCGACTTGACCTCGAGGAGCAACACATTGCACGCAGTGTGGTGGCCTTTCTGAGCTTTTTAAAGAGTTTGCTGGATTTTTGAAGCTTTTCCAAAACTTCTTCTGCAGCTGTTTGGTAAGTTAAACTTTTAAAACTTTTTTTGGGTTTTTTGGATTTTCGGTTGGGGTGTTTAGAATTCAAGGACTTGGTTTTGGGGAGGTGTTTGCAAGAATCTGGGAGCTTGTGTGGGGTTTTTTTTGAATTTTTATGATTTTTTGTGACCATTGGGCCATGTTGTTTTTTTGTGAAAAAAATTTCTGGGTTTTAAATTTCTGTGTGCTGGGTGGATGGGGGAACAGCTGGAGAGGGGTTTGCAAGAATCTGGGAGCTTGTGTGCTTTTTTTTGAATTTTTATGATTTTTGTGACCATTGGGCCATGTTGTTGTTTTTGAAAAAAATTTCTGGGTTTTAAATTTCTGTGTGCTGGGTGGATGGGGAACAGCTGGGGAGGTGTTTGCAGGAATCTGGGAGCGTGTGTGCTTTTTTTGACTTTTTATGATTTTTTGTGCCCATTGGGCCATGTTGTTGTTTTTTGACAAAGTTTCTGGGTTTTAAATTTCTGTGTGCTGGGTGGATGGGGAACAGCTGGGGAGGGGTTTGCAAGAATCTGGGAGCTTGTGTGCTTTTTTTTGAATTTTTATGATTTTTTGTGACCATTGGGCCATGTTGTTTTTTTTGAAAAAAATTTCTGGGTTTTAAATTTCTGTGTGCTGGGTGGATGGGGGAACAGGGGGGGAGGTGTTTGAATGATTGTGGGTTGTTGTGTGGTTTTTTTTGAATTTTTATGTTTTTTTTGTGACCATTGGGCCATGTTGTTTTTTTTTGAAAAAAATTTCTGGGTTTTAAATTTCTGTGTGCTGGGTGGATGGGGGAACAGCTGGGGAGGGGTTGGCAGGAATCTGGGAGCTTGTGTGCTTTTTTTGAATTTTTATGGTTGTGTGTGCCCATTGGGCCATGTTGTTGTTTTTTTGAAAAAAATTTCTGGGTTTTAAATTTCTGTGTGCTGGGTGGATGGGGGAACAGCTGGGGAGGGGTTTGCAAGAATCTGGGAGCTTGTGTGCTTTTTTTTTGAATTTTTATGGTTTTTTGTGACCATTGGGCCAGGTGTTTTTTTTTTGAAAAAATTTCTGGGTTTTAAATTTCTGTGTGCTGGGTGGATGGGGGAACAGCTGGGGAGGGGTTTGCTCGAATCTGGGTGCTTGTGTGCTTTTTTTGAATTTTTATGATTTTCTGTAACCATTGGGCCATGTTGTTTTTTTTTGAAAAATTTTCTGGGTTTTGAATTTCTGTGTGCTGGGTGGCTGGGGGAACAGCTGGGGAGGGGTTTGCAGGAATCTGGGAGCTTGTGTGCTTTTTTTTGAATTTTTATGATTTTCTGTAACCATTGGGCCATGTTGTTTTTTTTTGAAAAATTTTCTGGGTTTTGAATTTCTGTGTGCTGGGTGGCTGGGGGACCAGCTGGGGAGGGGTTTGCAGGAATCTGGGAGCTTGTGTGCTGTTTTTGAATTTTTATGGTTTTCTGTAACCATTGGGCCATGTTGTTGTTTTTTGAAAAAATTTTCTGGGTTTTGAATTTCTGTGTGCTGGGTGGCTGGGGGAACAGCTGGGGAGGGGTTTGCAGGAATCTGGGAGCTTGTGTGCTTTTTTTTGAATTTTTATGGTTTTCTGTAACCATTGGGCCATGTTGTTGTTTTTTTGAAAAAATTTTCTGGGTTTTGAATTTCTGTGTGCTGGGTGGCTGGGGGAACAGCTGGGGAGGGGTTTGCAGGAATCTGGGAGCTTGTGTGCTTTTTTTTGAATTTTTATGGTTTTCTGTAACCATTGGGCCATGTTGTTGTTTTTTTGAAAAAAATTTCTGGGTTTTGAATTTCTGTGTGCTGGGTGGCTGGGGGAACAGCTGGGGAGGGGTTTGCAACAGTTGGGGAGGGGTTTGCAACAGTTGGGGAGGGGCTGGGGGAACAGTTGAGGTTTTTGAAGACTTTGGTGATTTTTAAAGCTTTCCCAAAACTTCTTTTGCAGCCATTTGAGGATTTTGAAGACTTTGGTGATTTGCAGCCATTTCGTAAGTTAAACTTTTAAAACTTTTTTGGGGTTTTTGGATTTTGGGTTGGGTGTTTGGAATTCAAGGACTTGGTTGTGGGTTTGAATTGCTGATTTTTCTTTTCTTTTTCTGAGTTTACAAAGGTAACAGCTGTGCTGCCATGGGACCCAAGAAGGCTGCTGCTGCGGAGGCCGGCGAGAGGAAGAAGGAGAAGGTGACGCTGGAGATGAAGAAGGAGATCATCCGGAAGCACGATGGTGGAATGCGTGTGACGGACCTCGCCAGGGAGTACGGCAGGAACCCATCGACCATCGGGACCATCCTGAAGATGAGAGAGAAGATCCTTGCGACTGATGCAGCCAAGGGAGTCACCAGGATCGTGAAGAACCGCCCAGCTGTTCTGGAGGAGGTCGAGAAGTTGCTGCTCATCTGGTTAGAAGAGAAGCAGCGTGCAGGGGACACAGTGACTGAGGCCATGATTTGTGAGAAGGCCGAGGCCTTGCACGCAGACCTCATCCGGGAACAGCCAGGAACCTCGGCCGAGCCAGAAGTCTTCAAGGCAAGCAGAGGCTGGTTTGACCGGTTCAAGGCAAGATCCGGAATCCACAGCGTGGTCAGGCATGGAGAGGCTGCCAGTTCTGATGTTCCTGCGGCTGAAGACTTTGCCTTGGAGTTCCTGGAGGTTGTGAAGACGGAGGGCTACGTTCCACAGCAGGTCTTCAACTGCGACGAGACCGGGCTGTTTTGGAAGAGGATGCCCAAAAGGACTTTCCTCACACAGGAGGAGGCCAAGTTGCCTGGCCACAAGCCCATGAAGGACCGTCTGACCCTGCTCTTCTGTGCCAACGCAAGCGGCGACCTGAAGATCAAGCCCCTGCTGGTGTACCACTCGGAGAACCCACGGGCCTTCAAGAAACACAAGGTCGACAAGGAGCGGCTGAGTGTCATGTGGCAATCCAACAGCAAGGCTTGGGTCACACGTGTGCTGTTTGTGGACTGGGTCAATCTTGCCTTTGGCCCTGCTGTCAAACAGTACCTGCTGGACAACGACCTGCCGCTGAAGGCTTTGCTTCTGATGGACAATGCTCCTGCTCATCCTAAAGGCCTTGAGGTGGACTTGTTGGAGGAGTTCAGCTTCATCAACATCATGTTCCTGCCGCCTAACACCACGCCACTGCTCCAGCCGATGGATCAGCAGGTCATCGCCAATTTCAAGAAACTCTACACCAAGGAGCTTTTCAGGCGATGCTTCGAGGTGACTGATTGCACCACCATCACCCTGCGGGAATTCTGGAAGGACCACTTCGACATCGTCACCTGCTTGAAGATGATCACCACGGCCTGGAAGGGGATCAGCCAGAGGAATTTGAATTGCGCTTGGCGCAGCCTGTGGCCGGACTGTGTGGCACCAAGTGACTCTGATGCACCAGAGTCGACAGTGGTGCAGGACATTGTTGCCTTGGGGAGGACCATGGGCCTGGAGGTCACAGAGGAGGACGTCTGCGAGCTGGTGGAGGAGCACGACCACGACCAGGAGCACGACCAGGAGCTGGTTGAACTGCAGTCAGAGGTTGCGCAGGAGCAGGCCTCGCTGGAAGAGGAGGAAGCAACTGAGGAACGGCTGTCCTCCAAAGAACTGAGGGACATTTGCCAGAAGTGGAATGAGGTGCAGGCTTTTGCAGAGCGGCACCACCCTGACAAGCACGTGGCACATGACCAAGCAAACATTTTTGATACGACGGTCATGTCGCCTCTCAGGGAGCTGCTGAAAAGGCGGATGAAGCAGCAGACCATGGACAGGTTCCTCAGCAAGAAGCAAAGAGTGGAAGAGGAACCTTCTTCGAGTGGTCCCCCAGAGTCTTAGAAAATGTAATGTACCCTTTTTTGATTTTTAAATGTTTTTCCTGTCATGTTTAGAAACTTAATTTATTGTTCCTTCAATTTTTGATATTGTCAGGGGTTCAGAGAGAGAGGCACAGGGTAGGCAGGAGATGGAGAGCGAAGGGGAGGAATTCCAAGCCAGCGAGGAAGAGGACGACAATGACTCAAGGGATTCCATGAGTCTTTCCAGCGAATCAGAGGATTCCCAGAAGGGGGCGCTGGTGGTCAGGGCCAGGGGAGCCCCAGGGGGGAAATGTCAGGAGCAGGGTGCCAGCGGAGGATCCCAAAGTGGCAGCTGGGCGTCAGGACCAGCCTCCCCACCAAAGTGCAGCGAAGGGTGTGGAGTTTCCAGTGTGTCAGAGGAAGGAGCTCCAGCAGCAGAGAGAGGAGGGGGTCAGAGCAAGCAGCCCTCCCGGAAGGGGAGGGAGCAGTGAAGGGAGCAGTGTAACTGTCAAAAGGAAAGTTAGAGGTTTGGCGCGCGCGCCTAGTTCAAATGTAGAGGCGCGCGGAAGTGCAGGGAGCCCGGAGGAGGGGCCAGGTCCCAAAGCCCGCAGGAGGGGGAGCAGCAGTCTGATTCCGCGTCAGAGGAATCCAGAAGGGGCAAACCCCAGGGGGCAGAAAGACCCTGCGGAAAAGGAAGGAGAGAAAGAGGTGGAGCAGCGCAAGTCTCTTAAATTGGTGCAGAGGAGGGACTGACTCAGACGGGACTTCGGCGGTCTAGCGTAAGAGACGTAAGGCTGCGCGCCTAAGATGTCAAGCAAACCATGAACTGCAATAAACACCTTTGTATTCAAGAAGACGTAGGCGTTGGTCTTTTGTGAGCTAAGACTTGAGGCAGCCTTGACAGATATGCTCTTTAAAGTATGTGTGACTTTAAAGAGCAGTTAACAAACTCTTGTTGTACCAAATTTGGCTATGATTGGACTTTTTTTGACCATAGGAACGCATTAATTGAATTTCAATGCATTCCTATGGGAAACCGTGCTTCGCAAGACGAAAAATTCGCTAGACGAAAAAACTCGCGGAACGAATTAATTTCATCTTGCGAGGCACCACTGTAAGACAAATCAGCTTTGATTTTGCTTATTTCAATTCGCGTGGTGTTTTTTAGGTGTGCACCAGAATCACCCCCAACGAAAACAAAAAGGTCTTTTGGGTTCCATCTACATAAAAAGAAGATGATAAAGCTCTGATTGGGCTTATTTCAAATTGGTGTTTTTGGGGTTAGAATGCACATTCACCCAAAAATAGCAGAGTGACATGTTTATTATCAGCCCAAACCAAGCATAGGTGTTTAGGTTCCATCTCAATAGAAAGAGGACGAATAAGCTTGCATTGTTCTTTTGGTGTTCAGTCCCCCACAAATAGCAAAGCAACGTCTAATAAGCCTAAACAAAGCCCAACAGGTTGTTTTGGGTTGCAGCAACATAGAAAGAAGAATCTTGGATTTTGCTTATTTCGTGTTCTTTGGTGTTAATGCACATTGACCCAGAAATCTCACAATGTGTGTAATGAGACCAAAATAGCACAACACTGTCTTCTCGCTTCCATGCGCGTAGAAATAAGACAAATAAGCTTTGAGTGTGCTTATTTCAATTCGCGTGGTGTTTTTTAGGTGTGCACCAGAATCACCCCCAACGAAAACAAAAAGGTCTTTTGGGTTCCATCTACATAAAAAGAAGATGATAAAGCTCTGATTGGGCTCATTTCAAATTGGTGTTTTTGGGGTTAGAATGCACATTCACCCAAAAACCGCAGAGTGACATGTTTGTTATCAGCCCAAACCAAGCATAGGTGCTTTGGTTCCATCTCAATAGAAAGTGGACGAATAAGCTTGTATTGTTCTTTCGGTGTTCATTCACGAACAATTAGCAAAGCAAATTGTAATAAGCCTAAACAAAGCTAAATAGGTTCTTTTGGGTTCCAGCTACATAGAACGAAGAATCTTTGATTACGCTTAATTCGTCGTGTTCTTTGGTGTTAATGCACATTGACCCAGAAATCGCAAAGTGTGTGTAATGAGACCAAAATAACACAACATTGTCTTTTCGCTTCCATATGCGTAGAAAGAAGACAAATAAGCTTTGATTGTGCTTATTTCAGTTCGCATGGGGTTTTATGGGTGTGCACCAGAATCACCACCAACCAAAGCAAAAAGGTCTTTTGGGTTCCATCTACATAAAAAGAAGATGATAAAGCTCTCATTGGGCTTATTTCAAATTGGTGTTTTTGGGGTTAGAAGGCACATTCACCCAAAAATCGCAGAGTGACATGTTTGTTATCAGCCCAAACCAAGCATAGGTGTTTTGGTTCCTTCTCAATAGAAAGAGGACAAATAAGCTTGCATTGTTCTTTCGGTGTTCAATCCCCACAAATAGAAATGCGAAGTGTAATAAGCCTAAACAAAGCCAAACAGGTTCTTTTGGGTTCCAGCTACATAGAACGAAGAATCTTGGATTTCGCGTATTTCAAGTCATGTTCTTTGGTGTTAATGCACATTGACCCAGAAATCGCAAAGTGTGTGTAATGAGACCAAAATAACACAACATTGTCTTTTCGCTTCCATATGCGTAGAAAGAAGACAAATAAGCTTTGATTGTGCTTATTTCAATTCGCATGGGGTTTTATACCCAGGGTGCACCAGAATCACCCCCAACCAAAGCAAAAAGGTCTTTTGGGTTCCATCTACATAAAAAGAAAATTATAAAGCTCTGATTGGGCTCATTTCAAATTGGTGTTTTTGGGGTTAGAAGGCACATTCACCCAAAAATCGCAGAGTGACATGTTTGTTATCAGCCCAAACCAAGCATAGGTGCTTTGGTTCCATCTCAATAGAAAGTGGACGAATAAGCTTGTATTGTTTTTTCGGTGTTCATTCACGCACAATTAGCAAAGCGAATTGTAATAAGCCTAAACAAAGCTAAATAGGTTCTTTTGGGTTCCAGCTACATAGAACGAAGAATCTTTGATTTCGCTTAATTCGTCGTGTTCTTTGGTGTTAATGCACGTTGATCCAGAAATCTCAATGTGTGTGTAATGAGACCAAAATAACACAGCATTGTCTTTTCGCTTCCATATGCGACAAATAAGCTTTGATTGCGTGGCGAGTTCCTGCCCCCCACCAGGATAAATAAAGACACGAGACACCATGGTTTAAGGTTAAATGGGCGAATTAGGCCACAACTTTATTGAATTCAGGAATGAGGGGCATTGGCCCTAACGACTATCCGGCTCCAGCCCATTTGCTGGAGACACGGGGAAGGGTTAACACTATATCGGGGGAGTCTCCTGCCGAGGCACGTCGACTAGGAGCTCCCCCGGGTCACCGCTCGGGGGCGTGCCTTTGGCCCACACCTCCATAGGCTTCGGACAGGGCCACGCTCCCCGGAGTCCTTTAACGGACCACCCTTCGCTCACTGGGGGGAGGTGATGGCATTCCTCCCCCCGCACACATCCTCTTAACCCCTTCTTACCAATGCCTACCGCCAATGCCGAAGAGTTGTGACAAGTTGCTACGAGGTAGGCAAAAAACCAAATGGCTGTAAATTGCCCATTGGGAAAAATTCCTACCATGCCCCATGCGGCGACAGACCGAAGTCCATAGCAAAGTCAGAGACCTACCTAAAGCCTAACTAAAGGGAGGGAGGGCGGGAAAACGTGGGGGCTAGCTGGCGAAAAGAGGGTGAGCCCCCTCTGCGCCGGCCCTAAATAGGGCAGACACGGCCGGGATTCCCCTGGGCAGGCCGGAAGTGGCTTTGCGTGGCGAGTTCCCGCCCCCCACCAGGATAAATAAAGACACGAGACACCAGGACTTCCGGCGAGGCAGCATGGCGGCTGCAACAGCAGAAAAGAGCTCCTGAAGCCAGCCAGAGTAAAAGGCTCTGTCTGGCCGATTCCCGGACCCCCAGGACTGCTGCCGCCAGCACTGCCAGCGGAGAGGAATCGGGGGTGCCTGGGGCGCCTATCAAAGGAGCCAAAACACCCCCCCACGACCTTGATTGAGCCGGAAAGGCACCCGACCACCCCCCCAACAGCCGAGAGGAGCTCCAAAACCAGGAGGACAGTGGAGCTAACGCAAAGAGGGCGAAAAAAAGGGGGAGAGAGGAAGAAAAAGAAAGAAAAAGGAACCCCAACTTTACCACTGCTGCCCCCATCTCTGCCGACGGGAAAGAAGAGGGGAGGTAGGTGAGCACGGGAAGGCAAGAGAGGCTCCGAAGAAACACGTGGCCTCCAGCAGCAAGGGAAACAGAGGAAAGCCGCATGACAAAGGAGATCTATTGCAGAAAGGAAGAAACTACCCCCTTCTTTTTTCCTTTTTTTTTTTAAAAAAATCCCTTTTAACCCCTTCCTCCCCCTCTCCCCTTTTTTTTTTTAAAAAAAATCTTTTTTATTCCCCCCCCATATACCTACTTTTATCATTTTTCTTTTTAAAAGAGGGGCCACTGCTGCTGCAGCCACCCCTTATTTGAATCTTTATTTTTATTTCTTTTCTACACACTATTTAAAGACACACTTTTCCACACACACACACACACACTCAATTTAAACCTCATTTTATTTCCACCTCAAACTCCCCTCTTAAGAATTAAAATGGCAGTACCCAGAAAACAGGCCTGAACCATCACAGGCCATTTCCTGGGACTGCCACTTCGCCCCTGACATTCCACTCTCTTTTACCTATCCTCTTTTACCTATACTTTACTCATTTTTTTAAAAAAATAAAATAAAAAGCTCTATCTATCCATCTATCTATCTAAAGACAACCCCCCTTTTTTTTACCTTTAATTCTCATTTTTATCTTTTACCTGTACATTTTTAATTACTTTTTTACAAACAAAAAATAATAACAATAATTAGGGGAAAATATTATTATTATTATTATTATTATTTTTAAAAAAACATACAATTCCCCCCCCCTTTCTCTTTTTAAAGCCCTTTCTTTTCTATTTGTTGGCTTGTTCTTGAGGGGGGAATCTTTCACCCCCAGCTACGACCACCACTCTCTTTTAAAACAAAAATTTCCTCCATATCACTGCTATTGCTATTGATACTCTCCCCCACAACTTCCCCCTTTTTTATTTTTCTCTCCCTTTTTGCTCTCCCCTCTCTCTCTTCACCCCTCCTCATTTTTCCCTTTTATCCCACCTTTCATTTTCCATCCCCAATTTTGTTTTCTATCCCTTTTATTTTTTAAAATCAAAACCCCCTGTGTAGCCTGTTCGTCAGTTTGTTTTTGAGAGGGGAGCCCTTTCCCCCCTCCCCCCACCCCCTCTTTTAAAATAAGACTTTCCCCCATACCATTGCAGCAGCTCACCCTCCCTCCCCTCTCCCCCTCTCTTTTCTTCTCCTTCCTTTTCCCACCCTTCCCCCTCCTCCTCTCCTTTTCTCTCCCTCCTCCCTCTCTCCATCCCCCCCTTCCCCTAAAGGAAACACATACACACATTCATATCACCCTATCATAATTTGCCCCCCTCATACTATAGCTAAAACTACTGCTGCAATCTAACACCGCTGATATTACTGTACTATCTCTCCTCTCTCTTTCAACTCTCTTTTTGTCTCTCTCTCTCTCTCTCTTCTCTTTTACTCCAATCTCCCCTCTCCCCCCGCCTCCCCCCTTCTTCTTTCTTTCTTCTTCTTCTTCCTTTTTCTCCCTCCACCCTTTACATATAGCCTATTTGTCTGTCTCTGTTTCTGAGCGCACTCCCAACCCCAACTTCCACCTTAACTGGACCCCAATACCCCTTTTGGGCATATACAACCCCTCCTAAACACATATTTCCCTGGCCCCACCCCTCTAATCTCTTGCATCTCTACTTGCTAACCCCCCTCCCTTTATATGAACTGTCTGTCCATTAGTCTACCCATCTCTGCTTACCTGCCCCCCCCTGCCTCGGTGGCACCGCTGAGGCATCTACAGAAGCCCTAGAGAAGTTCTTAAAACACAGGCTAGAAGTGACACAAATGACCACCTAATCCAAACGCTCTGTAAAAGCCACCAGCCAACAAAGCCTGATCAGCTCAGCAACCCAACAATACCCAGGAATCACCACTGCCACAACTCCTAACCACCACACGCCCTACCCCAAGAGGACGCCAAGCCAACCTCAAACCAAAACCATCAGGGAGACCGAGATGACACCAACCAGGGAGATGGCAAACAATGCTAAGATGGTAACTCCCCTTCAAGATGATGACCACCCAATAACGAAACGAGATCTGAGGGAAATGGAAGCAAGATTAGAAGCACGATTAGAAGAAACACTGAAGGCCACAATGGCTCCCATGCAGGTACTAATCAACAATCTAACCTCCAAAGTGGAAGCTCTAGAGAACAAGAACCAAATGCAAGAAAGAATAATAGAGCAATACCGGGAGGAGAACGCACGTGTGAACAAGAAACTGGACGAACTGGTAAACCAAATGGAAGCAGAACACAGAGAGATGAAAATTAAGCAAGCCGACCTTGAAGACCGCAATAGACGTTGTAACATCCGCTTCCGCAACTTTCCTGAAAAAACAGAGGAGAAAAGCCCAGCAGACCTAATTATACGCTGGCTGAAAAACACAATCCCAAGCCTGAAACTTGAGGCAGATGACTTGGAGAGGGCTCACAGAGCCCTAAAACCTATGCCAAAACCCAGCGCCCCCCCAAGAGACATCATTGTATGCTTCACACGCTACAAAAAGAAGGAAGAGGTATGGAACCACCTCAAAAACTCAACCAACCTTCGATATGGAGAAACCCCCATTCTGGCCTTACAGGACCTATCTCAGGATACCCTAAACCGGAGGAAAAGCCTGCGCCCATGCACCCAGCGTCTCCAACAAGCAGGGATCAAATACCGATGGGGCTTCCCTTCCGCCTCATTGTAACAACCAATACAACACAACACATGGCTACCAACATACCTGAGGCCCTGCAACTACTAAAAACCTTGAACTCAACCTCCCACCGGAATGGCAACCGACAAACCCACCAAGTGACAGCCCCAACCACGAGGAAACAACAGCAAACAACTGGACAACGGTACAGAAGAAAAAGAAACAACAGAAGCGGCACAACAACGCAAACCAATACAGGCAAGCATCATGCTCAGAACCGTCCCGCCGGCCATACGACACAAGAAACCAGACCAAGATTAACCAAACCAATTCATCACAGATGGACAACCCTACAACAACAACAACCCCAGCTGAATGAAGCAACCAGGGAAAAAACCACAAACTGAAGGACTGGTGATTTCCCCCCCCCCCCCAAAACATAGATTTAGTTAACACCATCAACATCCCCCCCAGCCCCGCACCCCCACAGGAATCCCCGCCCCAACACCAGTCCAGACGACCTCAACCACACTCCCCATCACCCACACCTTCAACACCCCCATACTCCATACTAGGGAAAACAACTCCTCCAACCTTAATAACACAACCCACAATCAGGCTAAAATCTGATACCCAACCAGCACTATGGTGGCAACAGAGCGTACCAGCACCCACATCCCCACCCCAACACACCAACAATGTTGCTCATAACATTGGCAACATTGCTTATGAACCTTATACCTGACAGCGACGTTACAAAGTCACTTCACACTGTCTCACTGATCACCCCCTATCGCAAACAACAGGGGATGGCCTGTCCTTGAACACGGCCTTCCACACCAGCTGAGACCTAGGACCAACTGGCTAAATGCCAGATGGCCTAAAATACCCCAAACACACACCTATATGACTACATATAGGAAACTCTCTACAACTTACCCCCTACTCTTTAACCCAAATCTTACTCTAATCCCATTAGCCCCCCACCCACCACACCCTAGGTCAGCGCAACCCCACTGGTTCTTTAAACAACACGAAGAGAGAGACACAAGACAACCCAAATGGGTTGGCAGGGAATCGCCCCACATAATAGATAAGCAAGATGGCTAACCTAAAAGCAATTACATTAAACGTGAGGGGCTGGGAAACCCCATCAAAAGAAAACGCATCACCTCATACATAAACACCATGAAACCACACATCACCTTCCTACAAGAAATACACAACCCACCCAAAGGCAGCAAACTCCTGAGTGACCCCCGCTTCAGTCAACAGTGGGTCGCACAAGGCTCAGGGAAAGCTCGTGGTGTAGCCATAATACTCAGTAGAGACCTGAACTTCACTGCCACAACAGTCCTCAAGGACAAAAAGGCAGATTCATTTTCGCTAAAGGGACACTAGATGGCAAAATCAAACTGACAATCGGCTCCATATATGCCCCAAACACGAAACAATTAGAATTCTTCCAGAAGACACTAAACAAATTCCTCTCCTTCTCTGAAGGGGAAGCAATCCTAGGAGGGGACCTCAATCTAAATATGAAAGGTATATCCCTGAAAGATATCCACCCCACAACCCCATGGGCAACCTTCCTCCAAAGGAAACCCCCAACAACCAGGAACTCTTACAAGTTACTAAAAATGCTAAAAAAACAGGGGTCTCTACGACATTTGGGGTGAGCAAAACCCGGGAGACATCAGCCATACATTCCAATCGGGACGCCATGATACAGTGTCCAGACTGGACAGCATTCTACTCACACAGGGTCTGATCCCCTCAGTAGAATCAACAAACATAGGTAACATTAAAATCACAGACCACGCCCCAGTAGAAGTCATTGTTAAAATAGGAGAAGGAACAGAAACCACCCCATCATGGTCCTTCAGTCCCATCCTAACTACAAACAAACAAATTAGAGAGAGTCTCACAAAAACCCTCCAAAACTACTTCAAAGAAAACGATGTAAACAATATAACAACACCCCTCCTATGGGACGCAATGAAAGCGGTCACCAGAGGAGCTTGCATAAAAGAGAAAACATTCCTTAAAAAACAAACCTCCTCAAAAATTAGCAAAATAGAACAAGACATCACAGCCCTCTCATCACGCTACAAACAAACAGGATCTAAAAAACTCCTCAAACTTATAGAACAAAAAAGGAGAGAACTAGACTCCTAGAAATTAACAAAACAATGATCAACATTCTATACTCTAAACAACGTTTCTACGAATATGGAGGGAAAAACTCCAGATCACTAGCAAATAGATGCAGGAAAAAGCACTCAAAACAAGAATACACTGCATCACCAAAAAGACGGCAACATAACATTCTCCCCGAAGAAATAACCTCAGAATTTGCAGAATTCTACTCCAACCTATACACCTCCCATAACCCACCAGAGAAGGAAATCAGAACATTTCTAGCAGGACTGACCATGCCTACCCTAACTGATGAGGAACAGGAATTCATGGACAGCCCTATCACCCCAGAGGAAATAGATGCGGTCCTCAAAAACCTGAAACCACACAAAGCCCCAGGCCCAGACGGCTTCACAGCAGAATTCTATAAGAAATTCAAAGAACCCTTGATGCCCTACATGACCCGCCTATTCAACGACATCATAAAAGGGGGCCCCATCCCCAAAACCTGGACCCACTCCAAAATAGTCTCCATCCCCAAACCACTAAAAGACAGCCTCAAAGTAGAATCATATCGCCCAATCTCATTAATAAACCAAGACTACAAGATATTCACATCAATCTTGGCCAACCGCCTAAAAATCTTCCTACACAAGTTAATAGCCCCAGACCAGACTGGCTTTGTCCCTGGCCGCAATATAACAGACCCCATCAGGAAACTACTGAACCTGATCGAACACAGCAAGGCAACCAAACTCCCATTGACAATTATGTCCCTAGACATCCTCAAAGCCTTTGATTGCTTGGAGTGGAAATACATACTAGCAGTACTAACTAACATGAAATTCGGCCCCAACTTCCTACAAATCCTCAAACAAATATACTCCCAAGCCTCAGCAAAATGCAGAACTAACAATATGGATTCTAACACTATAGCTATCCAAAGAGGCACGAAACAAGGATGCCCACTGTCTCCCTTCTTATTTATCCTGGCTCTGGAACCCCTAGCAATCCGCATCCGAGCAGCCACAGACATCAAGGGAGTGGAAATAAAAGGCAGAACCTATAAATTAGGGCTCTTTGCAGATGACCTAATGGTCACAACACCAGACCCCATAAGCACAGCAACCTCCCTAATCAGAGAACTCAACACATTTGCAATGGTGTCGGGCCTACAGGTAAATTTTACAAAGTCAGAAGCTATGTGCTTCAACACCCCTCCTCACACCCAAAAAGAACTCACGAAGGTCACCAAAATAAAACTTTGCCACACCAAGTTCAGATACCTAGGGGTACAAATAACCAGAAACCTCAATAAATTGTACCTCCACAACTACAAGCCCCTGTGGCGACAAATTAACAAAGACCTAAAGAGATGGAATAACATGAACTTCACTCTCTCAGACAAAATAGCCATGATCAAAATGATCACACTCCCAAAACTAACCTACCTATTCCAAACCCTCCCAATCTGGATCCCCTCAACCCAACTTCGCAGTTGGCAGAGAAAACTACACTCTTTCATCTTCTCACATAAAAACCAAGAATAAGCCCCAAATACCTGCACCTCCCCACCTCAGAAGGAGGATGGGGAATCCCCAACATAGAAGCATATTACAATGCCAACCAAATACGCCATATAATCCCATATATACTAGAAGATGAGACAAAACAATGGGTACACCTAGAGAGGGACACAATTGAAAACACCTGCACCACAACATACCCACTCCTCCCAAACAAACTAAAGAAAATTCCCACAACACTTAACAGGTACACACAGACCATGCTCAAAGCATGGAAAACACAAATAGGCAAACTATCCCCAACCCCATCCCCACTAATCCCCCTGGCGTACCACCCATTATTCCACCATGCAGCACAAAACCTCAAGATAAAAACCTGGAGAACCAAAGGCTTATATCGCCTAATAGACTTTTATAAAAATAACAAACCCTTGTCAACACAAGAAATACAAGACAAGCTAGAAGACACCTGTCAGGGGTTCAGGAGCAGAGGCAAGGGCAAGGGAGGAAACAGAGAGCGAGGGGGAGGAGGCAGAAGAAAAGATGAGTGATGACGACGACCCGAGATCTCCGAGTCTTTCCAGTGAATCAGAAGATTCACAGAAAGGAGCACCAGTGGCCAGGGCAAGGGGGAGCCTAGGGGACACCCCAGGAAGATAGAGCCAGAGGGGACTCAGAGGGGAGCAGTTGGAAATCGGGACCAACGTCACCGCCAGAGAGCAGGGAAGAGGAAGGGCACCAGGGATCAAGCGCTGGCAACTCACAACAGGGGGGAGGGCACGAGTCAGGAGTGGCCACACCTCCATCGGGGAGCGAAGAAACGGTCAGACGGAAGGTGGAAGGTTGGGCGCGCGCTGCAAGATCAAATGCTCAGGATGGTGGCGCAGTAGGCAGCCCGGAAAGGGAGCCAGGTCCCAAAGCCCGCCGAAAGGAGGGAGAAGAGTCAGGGGAGTCAGCGTCAGCGTCAGAGGAATCCCGGAAGGAAGAGACCCCGGGGGGGCAGAGGGACCCAGAGAAGAACAGTCAGGCGGAAAAGGTGGAGCAGGGCTAGGATATTAAGTTGGTGTACAAGGGGCGGAGACTCAGACGGAGCTTCGCCGGTCTAAGCATGAGACGTAGAGTTGCACGCAGCAGCTTGAGAATGGAAACTGTAACTCAATAAAGACTTTTGCTTAATGATCGCTGGCTAGCGTGATCCTCTGTGAGCTAGGATCTGGAAGCAGCTCTGACAGTAAGCTCCGTCTCCTAAATTGTGGGCATCTACGGCCTCGCGGAGAGGAGAGAAAGCGGGTGCCTACTAGCGAGCTCACGAACGGCAGACAATATGACGGCCGAACAGCAGATAGCGGAACTCAGAGAAGCAGTGTCACGACTGAATGCCGAGGCTCTTGCATCCAGGAAGAGAGAGGAGGACGCAGCTGCCGCCTACAGGGATCTCCAGGTCAGGTTGGAAGTGCTTACGAAGCAAGGGCAACTGACACCCAAACCGGAGGGGATTGGGTTGGGGAGACGAACAGGCGGTCTGGTCTCTCACTTCGATGGGAATTTGCAACAGTACCCCAACTTTAGAGCAGATGTAATGTGTGCACTGCAACTGCTGAACAAAGACTTTAGAGATGAGCAAGAGAAGGTGGGATTCATCATGTCCCATTTGCATGGAGATGCTAAAGCATGGCTGCGCAATTTGTGGAGAGATAAGGATCCGGCGCTCCAAAATGCGGATGCCTTTATTAAAGCGATGGATGGGTGCTTTTTATCAAGCATTGACGTGGATCTTGCTCGGCAGCAGATACATGGACTGAAGCAAGGGAGGGCCAGCGTAAGGCAGTACCATGCCCGCTTTTCGCTTTGGTCAGTGCTCTGGAATGGGACAGAGATTCGGCTCCTGTAAGAGACCTGTTTTGGGAGGGATTGCACGGCTCGGTTAAAGATGAAATTGCGAGGGGGGAGAGACCCCGGACCACGCAGGAGATCGTTCAGAGGGCGCTGGCGGTGGGGGTGCGGCTGGAAGAACGTCCGTGGAGCAGGGATGAAGGGCGTGGAGGGCGCGAACCAGCCAGGGGCTCCTCCTTCCTTCCCAGAGAAGCAGCGCGTGCGCAATCCACGCCTCCGCCAGGAGGAGGAGCGGAACCTATGGAGGTTGGAGGTGCAAGGGCTCAGTCAGCAGCCAGAGCCCTAGCACCGGCAGCAGTGAAAGCGAAGCCTCCTAGAGGGAACAGGAAGTGTTACATCTGCGATGATCCACAGCATATGGCGAAAGAGTGTCCCCAGAGGCTCCACAAGCACACTGCAGCCTCAGCAATGGTAACTGCAGCAACGCAGCAAGGAGAACCACGGCAGGGAAACGACGGAGTCTGGCTGGAGGAAGAGGCACTGGGGCCCAGCCAGACGTGTCAGTGAAGCAGTCCCCAGAGATTTTACAGCCCATGGACCCCCTCCCGCCCAAACCAGTAGTGAGGCTCACCGCGTCGCTCCAGCTGCCCAATGGCATCAACATGGACGTGCCAATCACCATTGACTCCGGAAGCAATGCGGACTTTATAGGGCAGGACTTTGTCGACCGGCACGCTATACAGTTGCTGCCTGCCACGCTGCCCCTGCAGGTTGTCACGGTGGATGGCAGGGAGCTGCTAGGGGGGCAAGTGGTGAAGCAGACGCCACCAATGGTGATGAGACTTGGGAATCACAGGGAAATCATCAGCTTCAATGTCACTCAACTATCGGACACGCCCATTGTATTGGGCATGAGTTGGCTGGACAAGCACAGCCCGACGCTGGCTTGGTACCAGAGGCAGCTGACCTTCGGCTCTTCCTTTTGCGCTGAACACTGCATCGTGCCCCGGCAGGAAGGAGAGGAAGAGGAGTCACAGCTGCAGCTCGGCACGCTGCAAGCGGTTCCCCACAAGTACGCAGCATTTTTGGAGGTTTTCTGTGAGAAGGAGGCAGACAGGCTACCCCCACAGACCATATGACTGCAAAATTGACCTGCTGCCGGGGGCGGCGCTGCCCAAAGGGAAGTTGTATTCCATGTCTGAGGACGAACTGCAGGAACTCAAAGAGTTCATAGATCATAATTTGGAGCGCGGTTTCATCCGAGAGTCCACGGCAGCGGGGGGCAGTCCGGTATTCTTTGTTAAGAAGAGGGACACGCCCCAAAAAAGACTTGTAGTGGACTATCGCATTTTGAACAGCGTGACCAAGCCATCGGACTTCCCCATGCCCCGAATCGACGACCTCCTCGCGAAGGTACGGAAGGGCAGCGTGTTCACCAAGTTGGACCTGCGAGGGCCGTACAACCTCATTCGCATGCGGGAAGGAGATGAGTGGAAGACAGCCATGTTCACGCCCCTGGGCACCTACGAATATAGAGTTATGCCTTTTGGATTGCAAAATGGTTCCCACGTTTTCAAGCTTTCATGCATCACGTGTTGGCGGGGCTCCTCTACAAGACGTGCGTCTGTTTCTTGGATGACATCCTGATCTTTTCGGAATCGCAGCAGGAGCATGACAGGCACGTCAAAGAAGTGCTGAGCAGGCTACAGCAACATAGGCTTTACGCCAAGCTGGAGAAGTGCCAATTCGACGTGACGGAGGTGGATTTCCTGGGCTACAAGTTGTCTGATAAAGGGCTCGCCATGGACAGCACCAAGGTCCGAGCAGTGTTGGATTGGAAAAGCCCACGCAACCGGAAGGAGGTCCAACGGTTTGTCGGCTTTGCGAACTTCTATCGCAAGTTTATCAAAGGCTTTGCCATGCAGACAGCGGCCATCACGGACACGCTCAGCTCCAAGAAAAGAAGTTCATCTGGACAGAGCAGGCGGAGCAGTCCTTTCAGGCACTCAAGCGTCTCTTCGCGTCGGAAGAGCAACTGCTTCATGTCAACCCCAGCAGGCCGATGAGGGTGGAGACAGACGCTTCGGACAGAGCCGTGGGAGCAGTCCTGCTGCAGAAGGACCCGCAGGGGGTTTGGAGGCCGGGAGCGTTTTACTCAAGGAAGCTCAGCAAGTCCGAACAGAACTACACCATCTGGGACAGGGAGTTGCTGGCCATTCATGCAGCGTTCAAAGCGTGGAGGCACTTCCTGATCGGCGCCAAGCACACGGTGCAGGTCTGCACGGACCACAAGAATCTAGAGCACTGGCGCACGGCACAGTTCCTGAACCAGAGGCAGATACGTTGGGCTGAGTTCTTTGCGAATTTCGACTTCCGAATAGAGTATGTCCCGGGGGACACCAACATCATGGCGGATGCTCTCTCCCGTAAGCCACAGTATTTGGAGGAGGCAACGCCAGCGGCCGCCATGCACATCTTCGCACCGACAGTGTGGGCGTGCACGGCGGCGACAGTTGACCTGGAGGCGGTGCGACGAGCGTTGCAGGATGACTCCTTCGCGCAAGCAAAGATGGCAGAGGCGCACAGGGGCACGGCAGCGACCGACGAGTTCCAGCTGCGAGATGGTTTGCTCATCCGTAAAGGGGCCATCTACGTGCCGGGAGACGAACTTCGCGCCAAGGTACTGCAGCAGCTGCACGACGCGCCCACTGCCGGGCACTTTGGCAAGGAGAAAACGGTGGAATTAGTAGCCAGAGACTTCTGGTGGCCAGGAATGAGAGGGGAAGTCGCGGACTACGTGGCGAGGTGTGACACCTGCCAGAGGGCCAAACCAGTGCACAGACCGCCGGCCGGACTGCTGGAACCGCTGCAAACTCCGTTCGAACCATGGGAGAGAGTGGCCCTGGACTTTGTCACGGATCTGCCCAGCTCGAGGGGCAAGACGGCTGTGCTGGTGGTGGTGGACTTGTTCTCCAAGATGGCACATTTCATTCCGTGTGCGAAGGTGGCCACGGCGGAACAAACCGCCAAACTGTTCATAGACCACGTGTTCAAGGTTCACGGTCTGCCGCGGTCTATTCTGTCCGACCGAGGGCGACAGTTCATCTCGAACTTCTGGCAGAGGCTGATGGGCTTCCTGAACGTCAAGATCAACCTGGCGTCGGCTAGACACCCGCAGACCAATGGGCAAGCGGAGCGGAGTCAATGCCATCATGCAGCAGTACCTGAGATGTTATGCGAATCAACAGCCTGCGACGTGGGTGGATTACCTGCCTCTCGCCGAGTTTGCCTACAACAACACGAAGCACGTGTCCACGGGGGTCACGCCGTTCTTCGCCAACAACGGGAGGCACCCCAGAACCTTCCCGGGACTGGAAAGAATGGGGGAGGGGAGCCGCAGACAGCAGATGCATTCGCGTCGGAGTTGCAGGAGGTCCACGATCAGCTGCGGCGGCACCTGGAGCTGGCTAAACACGCATACAAGGTACAAGCGGACAAACACCGAAGGGTTGGCGAAGAGATCCATGTGGGAGACTGGGTCTGGTTAGCAGCCCACGCAGTGCCGGCCAGGTCGTTGGCGAAGAAGAAACTAGGGCATAAACAACTGGGGCCCTACCAAGTCGAAGAACAGGTCAACCCGGTAGCTTTCAGGCTGGCTCTTCCGGAGGGTTCCAGAATGCATCCGGTGTTCCACAGATCGGTGCTCACTCCCTACAAGGCACCTCACAGGTTTCAGGAACCAGGAACGGCACCGGGTCCGCTCCGAGAGAGAACCGGGCAGGGGGGAGTGGCACGGGAGGAGCGCATCAACGAAGTCACGGAGATTTTGGACTCCAGATGGGGGGAAGAGGGGGTAGAATACCTTCTCGCCAAGGAGGGCACCCCGGCCAGTGCCAACAGCTGGGTGCCGGGCTACGCTTTAGACGAACCTCTGCTCAAAGAAGAGTTTCATGCCCTCTTCCCACATAGGCCAATGCCAGCAGACTTTTCGACGACTGGCTTTTCACGCCCACGCTTTCAGCCAGCACGTTCCGGGGGTTCGACTCGGACGAGGAACCGACACGAGACGCCCGTTCCCCGGAGGGGTCACCCTCAGGATCTGCTTCAGAACCCTCGTATTGGTGGGATGATCGACCAGAGGAGCAGTTCCGTAGAAGGTGGCTGGAGGTCCCAGGACGAGCAACGTCTCCAGAAGGCAACGAGGGAGAGACGGACATGGACTTTTTCGGGGACGACCCGGGTTTCGAGCACGGCGGCACAGAGATGGAAGCGGAGGTGACCGTCGTCAACGAGAGCAGGGAGGAAGAACCGGAAGACTTCAGATGGCGGCCCGCCACGGGAAGCGAACTGTATCCGACATTCGTCCCCTGACACGGCAGCACCCAGATCCCGCACCGGAAGGAGGGGAGGGGGAAGAGGGGGCTTCGAGGGGGATGGATGTCAGGGGTTCAGGAGCAGAGGCAAGGGCAAGGGAGGAAACAGAGAGCGAGGGGAGGAGGCAGAAGAAAAGATGAGTGATGACGACGACCCGAGATCTCCGAGTCTTTCCAGTGAATCAGAAGATTCACAGAAAGGAGCACCAGTGGCCAGGGCAAGGGGGGAGCCTAGGGGGACACCCCAGGAAGATAGAGCCAGAGGGGACTCAGAGGGGAGCAGTTGGAAATCGGGACCAACGTCACCGCCAGAGAGCAGGGAAGAGGAAGGGCACCAGGGATCAAGCGCTGGCAACTCACAACAGGGGGGAGGGCACGAGTCAGGAGTGGCCACACCTCCATCGGGGAGCGAAGAAACGGTCAGACGGAAGGTGGAAGGTTGGGCGCGCGCGCAAGTTCAAATGCACAGGAAGGTGGCGCAGTAGGCAGCCCGGAAAGGGAGCCAGGTCCCAAAGCCCGCCGAAAGGAGGGAGAAGAGTCAGGGGAGTCAGCGTCAGCGTCAGAGGAATCCCGGAAGGAAGAGACCCCGGGGGGGGCAGAGGGACCCAGAGAAGAACAGTCAGGCGGAAAAGGTGGAGCAGGGCTAGGATATTAAGTTGGTGTACAAGGGGCGGAGACTCAGACGGAGCTTCGCCGGTCTAAGCATGAGACGTAGAGTTGCACGCAGCAGCTTGAGAATGGAAACTGTAACTCAATAAAGACTTTTGTTTAATGATCGCTGGCTAGCGTGATCCTCTGTGAGCTAGGATCTGGAAGCAGCTCTGACAGTCACCTTCCTGTGCATTTGAACTTGGCGCGCGCGCCCAACCTTCCACCTTCCGTCTGACCGTTTCTTCGCTCCCCGATGGAGGTGTGGCCACTCCTGACTCGTGCCCTCCCCCCTGTTGTGAGCTGCCAGCGCTTGATCGCTGGCTCCCTTCCTCTTCCCTGCTCTCTGGCGGTGACGCTGGTCCCGATTTCCAACTGCTCCCCTCTGAGTCCCCTCTGGCTCTATCTTCTCTGTGAATCTTCTGATTCACTGGAAAGACTCGGAGATCTCGGGTCGTCGTCATCACTCATCTTTTCTTCTGCCTCCTCCCCCTCGCTCTCTGTTTCCTCCCTTGCCCTTGCCTCTGCTCCTGAACCCCTGACAGCAACAAACCTATAAGCAAAGCAAAGCTCCAAAGAGCCCTTAAGCACTATTATCAAAATCAACCAAATGAATTAAATTGCCAGATTAAATAGATACTTATAAACTAACAGATGAAATACCAGAAAGAGATGAACGTAGAAGAGGCATGAGCTATTTACTTTAGATTCCCTATAAACCTGTATGCAAAGATATAAAACCCGGATCTCTTTTTCCTTATAACTATGAATTGACTATACCAAATTATAAAACTTAATGCCTAGGCAGAGAGTAAATGACACAGCTCCTCAGAGCACCGCAAGCTGAATGAAATAATTTGAATTCCAATATACTGTGCACTAATGCTTCAATTTAATTTAAATGCGTTTCGTAAATTCCCAGAATGAAATTCTCAAGAGTGTAAGTATAAACAAAAGCAGTCAAATTAATTAGAGGATATCAATTCTAAGATCAGCCTAGCCAGAGACGCTGTAGCTATACAAGCTTATGCACCAAGAGGAGGGGCTCCCTGCAGCCCCTTGTGCACTCTTATTTAAGCTAGGCTCTTTTAATTACGCCATCATCCTTTGTTTATATTGCTTATGTTTATTTCCTTTGTTTATATTGCTTTTGAATTTAAAACCAAGGAGAAAGTGAGGGGCACTCGAAAAGGAGATAGCTCCCACATGGTTTTGCCTCTCCTAAAATGGCTGCCGCCGCAAGGCCACGTGGGCAATCAAAATGGCGGCCGTAATGCGTTCCCGTTGCCTAGCGACAATGAACATTTAACGCTAGCCCTTTAACACTGAAAAAATTCCGCAGCCTCAAGAGCAAAACCTGCAGGCATTCCCCACGTACCCCTTATGAACGTTAATTATTCCCCTGGTTTTCTCGCCGGTTAAGCTTAAAAGGGAGGGTTTGTAAAGTTACTTCCCACGTGGAATGCCTATAGTAAAATGGCGGCCGCCCGGAAGGGCACGTGGGCGGATGAAATGGCGGCTGGGGCGCTGGTTGCCCAGCAACGGCGCAGCTGCTTCCGAGGCTTTCCAAGTCTAAACTTCCGCGGGAAAATAAAACAGCCTGTAGAGGAAGCGATGCTCTGTGGAAGCCACTCACCCCCTCAAGAATGCTGCTGAAATGATTATTTAACAAGAAATTCTGCCCCTCACCCTGGCAAGAAAATGAAACACAACTGGCACAAAATGCAGCCCGCTCTCCTCCCGCAGCTGCCGTTCCGCCTAATTGCACCACGCTCCCCTGCACAAACCCCAAGCTAAAACCTGAAGCCCCAACAGCAAAACCTGATTGGATGGGTGCGCTGCGTCCTCCGTGGAAATAACGAAGAGGAGCCAAACGTTCTTCCTTGAGCTCCTTGCAGAACAGGCAGTCAGCAGCCGAGGGCAAGCAACGGATCAGCAGAAAAAGGTCCACAAAGCTGGATAAATTCCTCTGAAGGGGGCATGCAGCAGCAGGCACGGCAAGCTCCTGAGGGCAGGGAACTTGCACCGAAACACACAGAGCTCCCTGTAAAACTGTAGACGTGAAAGAGATGCTGGAAGGAAAGCACACAAACACACACACAGTGATTTTAGCTCAATTACAGCTCCGGTGTTAAACTGCAGCAGCTGGAATGGAGCGCAAAGGGGGGAAACCCCCAGAAGGAAAAAAGCCCCAAATTGGTTTCAGCTCCAAAACTAGAGATAACAACTCCTGAACATCAAGCAGTTTAGAAATCAAGCAACACCAGCAGCGAATGATGGAAATTCTCTGTAAAAGAAATGGAGCTTTTTCTGTGAAGCTACAGCAAATTCCACGAGGTGCCCTGCAGCTCAAGAACAAAGGCAACAAAGAAGCAAGGCAGGAAAGCTCCAGGCAACGCAGATAAGATCTCCGACAAACAGGAACAGCTGACAGGCGGGAAAAAAACGTGGGGGCTAGCTGGCGAAAAGAGGGTGAGCCCCCTCTGCGCCGGCCCTAAATAGGGCAGACACGGCCGGGATTCCCCTGCTCTCGCGGGGGCCGAAACCAGCCCCCGCTCACGTGGGGGGTGGGTGTGAAGCCCGCAACCCCACCTCCTGGGCAGGCCGGAAGTGGCTTTGTGCTTATTTCAATTCGCATGGGGTTTTATGGGTGTGCACCAGAATCACCCCCAACCAAAGCAAAAAGGTCTTTTGGGTTCCATCTACATAAAAAGAAGATGATAAAGCTCTGATTGGGCTTATTTCAAATTGGTGTTTTTGGGGTTAGAATGCACATTCACCCAAATATCGCAGAGTGACATGTTTATCAGCCCAATCCAAGCTGATAATTGGTGTTTTTGGGGTTAGAATGCACATTCACCCAAAAATCGCAGAGTGACATGTTTATTATCAGCCGAAACCAAGCATAGGTGTCAGGGGTTCAGAGAGAGAGGCACAGGGTAGGCAGGAGATGGAGAGCGAAGGGGAGGAATTCCAAGCCAGCGAGGAAGAGGACGACAATGACTCAAGGGATTCCATGAGTCTTTCCAGTGAATCAGAGGATTCCCAGAAGGGGGGGCGCCGGTGGTCAGGGCCAGGTGAGCCCCAGGGGGGAAATGTCAGGAGCAGGGTGCCAGCGGAGGATCCCAAAGTGGCAGCTGGGCGTCAGGACCAGCCTCCCCACCAAAGTGCAGCGAAGGGGGTGGAGTTTCCAGTGTGTCAGAGGAAGGAGCTCCAGCAGCAGAGAGAGGAGGGGGGTCAGAGCAAGCAGCCCTCCCGGAAGGGGAGGGAGCAGTGAAGGGAGCAGTGTAACTGTCAAAAGGAAAGTTAGAGGTTTGGCGCGCGCGCCTAGTTCAAATGTAGAGGCGCGCGGAAGTGCAGGGAGCCCGGAGGAGGGGCCAGGTCCCAAAGCCCGCAGGAGGGGGAGCAGCAGTCTGATTTCGCGTCAGAGGAATCCAGAAGGGGGCAAACCCCAGGGGCAGAAAGACCCTGCGGAAAAGGAAGGAGAGAAAGAGGTGGAGCAGCGCAAGTCTCTTAAATTGGTGCAGAGGAGGGACTGACTCAGACGGGACTTCGGCGGTCTAGCGTAAGAGACGTAAGGCTGCGCGCCTAAGATGTCAAGCAAACCATGAACTGCAATAAACACCTTTGTATTCAAGAAGACGTAGGCGTTGGTCTTTTGTGAGCTAAGACTTGAGGCAGCCTTGACAATAGGTGTTTTGGTTCCATCTCAATAGAAAGAGGACGAATAAGCTTGCATTGTTCTTTTGGTGTTCAGTCCCCCACAAATAAGCAAAGCAAAGTGTAATAAGCCTAAACAAAGCCCAACAGGTTGTTTTGGGTTGCAGCAACATAGAAAGAAGAATCTTGGATTTTGCTTATTTCGTGTTCGTTGGTGTTAATGCACATTGACCCAGAAATCTCACTGTATGTGTAATGAGACCAAAATAACACAACACTGTCTTTTCGCTTCCATACGCATAGAAATAAGACAAATCAGCTTTGATTGTGCTTATTTCAAATCGCGTGGTGTTTTTTAGGTGTGCACCAGAATCACCCCCAACGAAAACAAAAAGGTCTTTTGGGTTCCATCTACATAAAAAGAAGATGATAAAGCTCTGATTGGGCTCATTGCAAATTGGTGTTTTTGGGGTTAGAATGCACATTCACCCAAATATTGCAGAGTGACATGTTTCTTATCAGCGCAAACCAAGCATAGGTGTTTTGGTTCCATCTCAATAGAAAGAGGACGAATAAGCTTGGATTGTTCTTTCGGTGTTCATTCACTCACAAATAGCAAAGCGAATTGGAATAAGCCTAAACAAAGCTAAATAAGTTCTTTTAGGTTCCTGCTACATAGAACGAAGAATCTTTGATTTCGATTATTTCAAGTCGTGTTCTTTGGTGTTAATGCACATTGACCCAGAAATCTCAAAGTGTGTGTAATGAGACCAAAATAACACAACACTGTCTTTTTGCTTCCATATGTGTAGACAGAAAACAAATAAGCTTTG